GGGGGGGGGGGGGTGCAACAACAGTGTTAATAGGATCTTAATAAGTTTCTAATTGTCTGGATTTCCACTTCTTGTAAAGCGTGGTTTCAAAAGCTATTTTAGAATATTAATTTTTATCTTTCTTTTATTAAAGGTCTGTATACTCTCATCTCTGATCCCCTCTTTACCTTACTGTAGTTTATACAAGAGCCAGAAATGGAATTATTGAATGTGGCTTTTATTCCTTTTGTATATGTAGGTAAAGCTTCAACACAGAAAAAGTAAAGAAGCTCTAGAATTCCCATTTCTTCGAAGCTTTACCAAAGAGGAAGGATCTTCAGTGGCTGAACTTCCAGTTCTCACAGCTGGCTTTAATTTTCCAACAGGTTTGTCATGTGTCAAAGGCTGAGAATCTTAGTTGATGTTTTTCAAAGCACTGCATGGGATTTTAACCATGAGTCTTCATTTTAAGAGGAGGCACATAACTAGGTCTCTTGCATTGCTTTGAAAATCTCATCCCATATATTTAGCATTGCATTTTTCTCCAAGCATGATTAATACCGATTTGTGGCACTTGGTAGTACAGTACTCATCTCTGAAAAGATTAAAAATATTGTGTGTGGCCCCCATTCATTTTATCTAGATAATTTTACTCTGTTTCTCCCCAAATAAATGAAGAAGATCCAAAGGAAATGACAGTTTCAGGTAAGAAGGAGACACATGGTTCCTCCTAAAAAATGCATATCTGTGGGCATGTCAACATATTCATTAATGTGCCATAATTATGGCACATTTAGTACCAGGTACTAGCTTAATAGGACTGTGTGAAGGTTTGGGTGCTGATTCGATTTGGAGGAGATTCAGCCTGATTTGGTGGCCGAATCCCTGAATCCAAATCGATAGAATCAGGAGACCAGTTAAAAGGTTTGAATCAATTGGAAGCTCCCCAAAAAGATTTGGAGAGCTTCAGCAATTTGGGCAGTTCCTGCTCACTGCTGCAGGGAGCTGAACCCAGACTCCATGCTGGTAAGTAGGGGCAGGGGAGGGGGAGCTGGAGATGGGAGGAGGGGACCATGGGGGGACCCCTGCCAGGCCCCATCCCCTGCCTGCTCCCCCAGCCCCCCTGAGCGCCCCCTGACTCCTGCTCACTCTCCCAGCCCCACCCCCCATGGCTGCCCCATCCAGCCCCTGGCACTTCAAGAAAACAAACAAACCCAACTCACCGGCTGCTGCAGCAGCCTCAGGACTTCTGGGTGCTGGTGGCAGAGCCCCCCCAATGTGTGGGGCAGTGGGGGGCAGCAGGGATCACCCCCCCACACCTGGCAGCAGCTGGTGAGTGGGGGCTTTTTTTTAAAGACCTGGGAGCTGGGAGAGCGGGTGGGTCAGCCATTGAGAGTGGGTGGGGCCGATCAGATTTGGCCGAATCAATTCATAACAGTGATTTGAATCACCAAATATCACTGTCCCCTGAATCGGCCAAACCAGTTCTGAAGCAAATACTAGCCACTTCTCACAGGCCTATAACTTAATACGCCATAATTACAGGTATTACAGGTTCTAACATAATATGCCATAATCGGCATACTGCACAAATGAACACTTTTTTTGTGACACTTAATGCTCATTGGACTAAGTCTGCTGCACATTAGCACAAACAAATGCTTTTTTTGTGACACTTTAGTCTCATCAAACGAATCTACTGTACAGTAGCATGGTATTTGCCAGCCACATTAATGTGTAATAGAATTAGTCCAATGGTCATTAAGCATCTCATGTCAATGTGTCCTGTTTTTGCTCCTAGGAATGTTAAAGCGTTTATTTCTTTTGACACAGTTATCAAGTTTTCCCATAGATTTCCTTCTATGAATTATACCTTTGTCACCCTAGATTGCTGCTTTGTGTTTTACTTGGAGGTACATCTTAAATCTGTTCACAACAGAAACTCATGCAGAATTCAGTAGCCTTAAATAGGTATCTGGTCATGAAGGAATTACCTTTAGCACTCCTTTAGCTCTACTGGCTCCCTGGGATTTCTGATAGAATTTAGGTTCTTAATTATATACTATAAATCCTAAAGGTCCTATCCTGCCTGCTCTTCTCCCTCAACATAATGACAAGTGAAAAGACTCAAACTGGAGCTCTCTAGATATAAACTTGAAGCAGATAATGGCAGGACATTTTTTTATGAAGTCTTCTTGACTTTGGAAGTCTTGCCCTTTCCCTCTTCCATCCCCCCCCCCCCTTTTTTACAAAACAGAAAAAAAAGTAGTAATCTTTATTGGGATTCTGTGATGCTCATATTTTTAAAGAACATTTTGAGATGGGTTTGTCTGAGGGGCAATGATAGGAAGGATGTGATTTTTTTGTTCCCTTTATTAAAGGAGTCTCATTGGCTGTTGCTCTCTACAAGGGTGTTGTTTCTGATTATTCTAATAGTTCAAAAGGATATGTACAGCTTCTTTAGGTAGACAGACAAGAATTCTTCAGCCAAAGCATCAAGGAAGGATTTTCCCAAGAGGGTAGGGGAAGAGCCCACAGTGCTCCTTTTGCTCCATTGCTAGTAGTATATTCCCTCAGGAACTGTCACAGTTAGTGAAAATTGAAAAAGCTCAATCACTGTTTGCACCAATGTTCAGAGAAAATAGAAAGGTTTCTTTGCCTCCAGCCTTTAAAGCTGGGCTTGGTCTGTCTTCAGTTAAGCTCAGGATAGAATATTGCTTGTGGTTCTGAATAATCAGAGCTTCTAGAAGCTAGGATGGATGTTGTTGTATGGGTGTTATTAATTTAAATAAATTTAAAAAATGTGGTAGTGTGTGTGTGTGTGTGTGTGTGTGTATACACACACATACACATATATATTAATATATGTTTTTCTTAGAATGATCTTTGCTGATGCATTACCCTTTTCTCACATTCTCTTTTTCTTTGTATCAGACCCACTTGAAAATTGTTTCAATATTTCAGTTTTTGTTTTCAATCTCAATGGGTTTTCATTTTAATTGCAGTGCTTCAGTGTACTTTTACAAATAAAACAATTTTGTCTGGCACTGATTATTTTGGGCAGGAAGATTTTAAAAATAAAGGTCTAATTGTAATTTATTAAATAATATGCCTTAACTGCCTGTGCTTCAATGCCTAATTCTTTTTCCCCTTCCAACAGTAAAAAAATATAATCTATATATTACCACGGGTGCATCTCCACAGTCTGGAACAGATGCTGATGTGTATGTCATGCTGCGAGGTTTCCTGGGAGACACAGGTCGAAGAAAATTAGTGCAGAAAGGAGAGAAACTTTTCACCAAAGGAAAGGTAGGTTATCATATCTAGAGGCGGCTGGTTAAAATCGAAGCCCAGTCCAGTTCTGACTGATATGAGGTGAGAGTTGAAATGGGTCTTTCATTTCTAGCCTGAAGTGCCTAGTGATGTGGGTTTGCAAGTATGTGTGTATGTACATCTATTACACCCCCCTCCTTCCCTTCAAACAAACCCAAATTAAAAGTGTACTCTAGGCACTAGTTAGGAAATAACACAATTGAGGTAATGTGTCTCATTTATGTATGTGTGGTATGACATAATATTGTATTATGTACCATTTGGGCCTCACAGATATTTGCTGCCAGAAGAAGGATCGTGAGATTGAAGACTCATGGATTTCATTCCAGGTTTTGGATGGAAGGGTGCTGCTTCCTTCCTTCAAGATTTTGCTTCCCCTGTTAGTCTGAACCTCAAGTGGTGGCTCTTCTGCTTATTATTTATTCATTAAATCATGTACTCTTCTGTTCATTCCCATCCAAACACAGCTCCATATTTATTTGGCTTTGCCTTTGTCCTGCAAAACTTCCACCCTGCCTCCTCATTCAAGTGCCATTTCCAGTCTCATAAATGAGGTATTCATGCTTAAGGCTTTTATCCCAATTCCAGATTTCTCATCCAGCTTGTCCTTGTTTCATTCTCTTTCTCTCATCACTCATACTTTTAGTGTCCTTGCCCAACTATTTCCAGTTTCTCTTACCTCAGCTCCTCCAGCTTCCACAGCTGCTTATCCCCATTGATCTGGTCCAGTTAGTTCAAGTTCCTCCCTTGCAGCTCCTTTTATTTCTCCCATACCTGGACTCCCACCTTCCAATCACCTTTCCAATCCTTACTAGTCTAGTCTAGTTTTCCTAGACTTCAGGAAGGCATTTGATACTGTCTCTCACCCCATTCTCATTAGGAAGCTGGGGGACTGTGGCGTAGACACCCATACAGTCCAATGGGTCGCCAACTGGTTAGAGAGTCGCACCCAGAGGGTGGTAGTGGATGGGTCCTTCTCGACCTGGA